CCAGGATGTGGTCAATCCTGGAGCATGTTCCGTGTGCACTTGAGAAAAATGTGTATTCTTCTGCTTTTGTATGGAGTGCTCTATAAATATCAATTAAGTCCATCTGATCTAATGTGTCATTTAAGGCCTTTGTTTCCTTGTTGATTTTCTTTCTGGATGATCTGTCCATTGACAAAAGTGGAGTGTTAAAAGTCCCCCACTATTATTGTGTTACTGTCGATTTCTTCCTTTATGGCTGTTAACATTTGCCTTATGTATTGAGGTGCTCTTATGTTGGGTGCATATATATTTACAATTGTTGTATCTTCTTCTTGGATTGATCCCTTGATCGTTACATAGTGTCCTTCTTTGTCTCTTATAACAGTCTTTATTTTTAAGTCTATTTTGTCTGATATGAGTATTGCTACTCCAGCTTTATTTTGATTTCCATTTGCATGGAATACCTTCTTCCATCCCCTCACTTTCAGTCTGTATGTGTCCCTAGGTCTGAGGTGGGTCTCTTGTAGACAGCATATGTATGGGTCTTGTTTTCATATCCAGTCAGTCTACGTCTTTTGGTTGGTGCATTTAATCCATTTACAGTTAAGGTAATTATCGATATGTGTGCTCCTATTGCCATTTTCTTAATTGTTTTGGGTTTGTTGTTTTATGTCTTTTTTCTTTCCTTCCTCTTTTGTTCTCTTGTGGTTTGATGACCATCTTTAGTGTTGTGTTTGGGTTGCTTTTTCTTTTCTGTATGGTTATCTATTGTAGCTTTGGGGTTTGCTGTTCCCATGAGGTTCTGATATAGCAGTCTATGTATGTACAAGGTTGTTTTAAGTTGCTAGTCTCTTTCCCACCAAGAGGAGTTCCTTTAGCATTTGTTGCAAAGCTGGTCTGGTGGTGCTGAAATCACTTAGCTTTTGCTTGTCTGTAAAGCTTTTGATTTCTCCATCAAATCTGAATGAGAGCCTTGCTGGGTCGAGTATTCTTGGTTGTAGGTTCTTCCCTTTCATCACTTTAAATATATTGTGCCACTCCCTTCTGGCCTGCAGAGTTTCTGCTAAGAAATCAGCCGTTAACCTTATGGGAGTTCCCTTGTATGTTATTTGTAGTTTTTTCCTTGTTGCTTTTAATAATTTTTCTTTGTCTTTAATTTTTGTCACTTTGATTACTATGTGTCTTGGTGTGTTTCTCCTTGGGTTTATCCTGCCTGGGAGTCTCTGTGCTTCCTGGACTTGGGTGACTATTTCCTTTCCCATTTTAGGGAATTTTTTACTGTAATCTCTTCAAATATTTTCTCAGGTTCTTTCTCTCTCTCTTCTCCATCTGGGTCCCCTATAACTTGAATGTTGGTGCATTTGTTGTCCCAGAGGTCTCTTAGGCTATCTTCATTTCTTTTCATTCTTTTTTCTTTATTCTGTTCTGTGGGAGTGATTTCCACCATTCTGTCTTCCAGGTCACTAATCTGTTCTTCTGTCTCAGTTATTCTGCTATTGATTCCTTCTAGTGTATTTTTCAATTCAGTTATTGTATTGTTCATCTCTATTTGTTTGTTCTTCAGTTCCTCTAGGTCTTTGTTAAACATTTCTTGATGTTTAACAAACATTTGTTAAAACATTTGTTAAAAAACAAATGTTTAACAAACATTTCTTGATGTTTCTTGATGTTTAATCGAGGAGATCCTCGATTCTTTCCTCCATCCTTTTTCCGAGGTCCTGGATCATCTTCACTATCATTATTCTGAATTCTTTTTCTGGAAAGTTGCCTATCTCCACTTCATTTAGTTGCTCTTCTGGGGTTTTATCTTGTTCCTTCATCTAGGACATAATCCTCTGCCTTTTCATTTTGTCTATCTTTCTGTGATTGTGGTTTTTGTTTTGCAGGCTGCAGGATTGTAGTTCTTCTTGCTTCTGCTGTCTGTCCTCTGGTGGATGGGGCTATCTAAGAGGCTTTTGCAAGCTTCGTGATGGGAGGGACTGGTGGTAGGTAGAGCTGGGTGTTGTTCTGGTGGGCAGAGCTCAGTAAAACTTTAATCTGTTTGTCTGCTGAAGGGTGGGACTGTGTTCTCTCCCTGTTGGTCATTTGGCATGAGGCGACCCAGCACTGGAGCCTACAGGCTCTTTGGTGGGGCTAATGGTGGACTTTGGGAGGGCTCACACCAAGGAGTACTTCCCAGAACTTCTACTGCCAGTGTCCTTATCCCCATGGGGAACCACAGCCACCCCCTCCCTGCCTTTGCAGGAGACCCTCCAACACTAGCAAGTAGGTTGGTTCAGTCTCCTATGGAGTTACTGCTCCTTCCCCCTGGGTCCTGGTGTGTACAAGGTTTTGTGTGTGCCCTCCAAGAGTGAAGTCTCTGTTTCCCCCAGTCCTGTTGAAGTCCTGCAGTCAAATCCTGCCTGACGTCAAAGTCCAATTCTCTGGGGATTCCTCCTCCCATTGCTGGACCCCCAGGTTGGGAAGCCTGATGTGGGGCTCAGAACCTTCACTCCAGTGGGTGGACTTCTGTGTTATAATTGTTCTCCAGTTTGTGAGTCACCCACGCAATGGTTATGGGATTTGATTTTATTGTGCTTGTGCCCCTCGTATCATCTTATTGTGTCTTCTCCTTTGTCTTTGGTTGTGGGGTATCTTTTTTGGTGAGTTCCAGTGTTTTCCTGTAGATGATTGTTCAGCAGTTAGTTGTGATTCTGGTGCTCTCTCAAGAAGGAGTGATTGCACCTCCTTCTACTCCACCATCTTGAAACAATCTCCTCCTTTTCATTTTTAAAATTCATTACAGAGATCTGTAATCATTCCAATTTCCTTCTAGATCATTCAGATTAGAAATATGATTTCTAATAATTTAAATTGTAACAACATTCCAATGTAAAACAGCTTAGAAATCCTTTGGCATGTATAATAATGGTGTTTACCTACAAGGGAAAGAAAACAGGCATTAATTGATTGCCAAATAATACCAGGGCTTCTCACATTATTTTGTTAATACCTACTGCCTACCTGACACCTTCACTTGGCTGGACAAGTGATGAGACATCTCCTGGTCTTCCCTCCCAAACCTGCTCTTCTCATCATCCTCGCCAACTCAGTTAACAGTAATTCCATCCTTCCAGGTACTCAAGCCAAAGATTTTGTATTCACTCTTAACTCTCCTATATCTCCCATCTAACCTATTAATAAATCCTTTTGCTTTACTTTTTAAAAATATATATATATATATTTATTTATTTGGCTGCGCTGGGTCTTAGTTGCAGCATGCAGGATCTTCACTGTGGCATGCGTGATCTTAGTTGAATCTTTAGTTGCCACATGCAGCCTTTTAGTCATGGCATGTGGGATCTAGTCTCCTGATGAGGGATCGAACCCATGCCCCCTACATTGGAAGCATGGAGTCTTAACCACTGGACCACCAGGGAAGTCCCCTTTTGTTTTACCTTTAAACATATCTGGAATCAGACTATTTCTCAACATCTCCTCTCCCTGGTTCCAAGCCACCTGATTATTGCAGTAGACTCCTAGCTGTTTTTCTCCTTTGGCATGTGCTCTTCTTTTATCCCTGCATCTAGCTAAAGTAATACTTTTAAAACTAAAGACCAAGCATGTCAAGTTTCTCCTTCTTGCCAAGAGTACATACAGTCACCTATAAAGCCCTGACATAATTTGCATCCTTTTACTAATTCCATCTACTTCACACTCTGTTCTAGCCACACTGGCCTCTTTGCTTACGCTCTCAACTCAGAGCCTTTGCACTTGCTGTTCCCTCTGCCTAGAACACCCTTCCCCCTCATCTACTTCAGATCTTTACTCAAATATTTTTTTCCATAAGTGTTTTCCTGACCACTCTATTTAAAATGAAACATTTCCTCCCCTGGTCCGCCAGGCACACACACAGACACACAGACACACGTATACATATACATAGTAATACCTACCCTCATTACCTACTTTATTTTTCTTCACAGCACTTGCTAACTTCTGTTATAGTATATATCTTATTAATTCATTAGTTTTATTTATTTTCTGCATTAGAATAAATTCACTAAAGAAAGGCAGTTTGTTTTTTCATTCACTGCTAATATCTTGTTATCTAGAACAATGTCTGGTACATAGCATGTACTCTGTAAATACTTATTAAATGAATGAATTTATTCTTACAACAATGCCAGGAGATGATTACTACACTTCACAGATGAGAAAAAGAATACCACCAAAACTACCACCAACAATAACAAAAAGACAAAAACAAAAACAGATGCAATGAGGCTAAAGAACTATTCAAATATTTTTTAAACATTAAACTTTAAAAAATGCTTATTAATAAGAGACAGTTTAAATAATTTATGGTATAATTAAATAATGGAATAATATGCAGCCATAAAAAATTATGAGGATAATCTTTATATTCTGATATGGAATGATCTCCAAGATGTGTTTTTAAGTAAGGTATAAAAGTATCATGTTATCCTTTGCTTCAAAATCAGGAAAAAATATACATTTGCTGGTGTATGCATAGTCTAAATCTGGAAGTATACACAAGAAACATTGAATACCGCCGGAGATAAAAGCTTGGTGACTAGGGATAGTTGTAGGAGGGGTCTTGTCTCTCTATGATGATTTGTACCTTTAAAATTTTGAGCCATCTGAGTGTGCTACATAGTCAAAAAGAAAATTAAACAGTAACTTAACTAAAGTCAGAAACCTAGTAAGTGACAGACAGTGACATTTATATTCAGGACTGCCTAACTCAAAAGCCCACTTTCTTTCCACTAGCCCATATTGTCTCACAGAGAAATTTGGCAGAATCAATGCATTTAATTTTTCTACTTGGTTGAATTCTTGAAAATCATCTCTAATATATAGAAGGCAAAGAGATATTGACTTTTAGCAGGTCTTTCAGTCGAGTGAATGTCAATGGTGTGAACAGCATAGAGAAGAGTTTGTATACCTTTCTTCCTGCTGAAATCATTTCTTTTCTCTGCTTTCTTAGTCTGCTGAAATCATTTCTTTTCTCTCCACAGCTGCTGGCTGGCAACTCAAGAAAGCAGTGGTTTGATAACAAGTCCATTGTTGTGGTCATTCATCATACCTGTGACCATTATCCTCAATAGCAATGTTGTTATATTTATTGTCATTGTAGTCAAAGTGCTGTGGAAGAATAATCAGAATCTGAAGAGCTAAGATTCCCAATGAATCAGAAGCTGGAAGGCATGGCTCATGTAGTACTAAATATAGCACAGGAATACATCCACAGTTCCTAGAAGAGTTTTCAGATTTGGGGGAAATGGCAAGGATATGTGGTTTGCAGGACAGATTTTCTCTTAAACTTTGTCTCAGAAGGTGGATCTTCTCATCTTCCAACATCAAGACTACAATGTGAGTCTATTGCATTACCTAAGATACTTTTGCACTGTATGAGCCCAACTAAAAACCCAACCCAAAGACATCAAGAAAAAAAATGTATCCCCCAATCCCCAATATTCATGAAATCAGATTTGAATAATTAAAAATATGAGAGGGTTGTGAGGAGATGCTGGTCACTGTATTTTCATTTTAGAAACTAGTAACTGTAGGTTATATTTTACATGTGTTGCCTGAATCACATAACAGCTTTAAATTTTTAAAAATTTGTTGCAAACATATACAAATTGGAACATTGGGCAACATTGGGCCCACATTCCCTGCAGATGGGGCATGTGCTCTCTGGTCTATCAGTTCCCATGTGGACTGCTTCTTTCCTCTCTGTAACTTTTCTGACCCCAATAAGCATTTTCATTGTCATCACTAATATACAGAAAGAGCTTTCAGTTGGAGAGACAAATAACAGAAGCTATTAAACACATACACTCCCCTCACCTCCACATCCCACAGCATGAATTGGTTAGAACACAGTGCTAATGAGGCTGTGAATTCAGGCTTAATTCTACAAGACTCTTCTTAACCCAAGTAGACTTACTATAAGTACATCTGTGAACTTTGTTGGTCACCATATAGATCCATTTTGAATGAACAGATGGGTGAAAACAGCCATCATTAGTGGGAATGTAATCTTAAACATGTACTTTACCAATCAAGAGTACCATCTTTCCTATATGGATGATAACCCATATTGAGGGGAAAAATGTGGAGAAAAGCCTATCACTGATAATCATTCAAACCTATGTTTTCTTAACAATGCAGAAAAACCTTGGTGAAGTCTTGTTAGCCTAATTGTAAGTTAAGTTATATTTCTTTTATACAAAGCAATATCATTTTGGCCACAGACATCAAACAAATTTGTAATGTTTCAAAATTTTGACTGGCAACTCATGGTTCTTAAATTAGCTTAGTTACAGTGAAGAGCAGGTTACAATTTAATTGTTTAACAAATTATCTTCTATGTATCAGTTAGCTTTTGCTGTATAACAAATTACCCCCAAATTCAATGGCTTAGAATGATAAATATTTATTACTTGTCATAAGTTTGAGTGTCGATCATGTAGTTGTTTTTGTTTTGGCTGGCTTGAATGCTGGTAGATAACTTAGGATGAATCACTTTCATGTCTGATGGTTGTTGGTTGGTTGGTATTGAGTGGGAACTGCTCATCTGGGAAAGCTCGCCTCTGCTGCATGTGGTCTCTCTCTTAACATAGTACTCTCAGGATTCCAAAGAGCAATAAGAAAAAACACGCCCTGATGAGTGGAATGCTTTCAAGACTTTGTTTGTGGAACAAATGCTAATGACCCTCTGGTCAAAGTGAGTCATATGGCCAAGCTTAGGTTCCAGGGATATAGACTTAGCATGACAGGGAAGAAGGTCACTTTGTGCTTTAATAAATTTTCATTCTGATATTAACTTATGACATGGGACGGTCCCAGATGCCCCAAATAGGAATTACTGATCCAGTAGTTATAATCGCTAACATCAAATTCAGTTCCAAAGAAAAAGTTAATTCTATGTGAAATTTGCCTGCAGTAGTATTTCAGGAACTGTTTATGCCTGAGCTTTTAAGCAGATATCACTGTCTTCCACCCTTCCCCCTTCCTTCCTTCCTCTCTTCCTCCCTTTCTCTCTTTTATTCAGAGTGACATAGGTTTTTCCACCTGAGGCATAATATTGTTTAATGAACAGTGTATATGTGAAGCTGAATACATATTTTCAGTAGGAGGGTAACAATGATATTAATAAGTAAAAACCTGAATGAACCATATTTCCTTTCTTGTTTTCTCTTACTTAGCACAAAGAAGTTTTCAATCCTAAAGAAGTTTCTTAGCACGTTATCTGTTGCAGTCGTTTTTAGAGTTACCTGGATTCTGGCATACTTAATGCTAATGGATGATGATGGCATCAGGGTCACCTTCAGCTACTTATTCTGCCTTTTCAACACTACTCAGGTATGGTGTGGATTAATCTGAAAGTAGTAGACTATGGAGTGGCGGAGATGATATCACCTGGACCAAAGTTTTCTTATCTTAAAACTCCCTGAAGGTCATTACTTAGTTAATTTTGGGTGACTCTATTTTTAATACACTTTGAGGAAAGGGGAAGGAAAACTTTTTTATGACTTACCTACTATATCCTTTCCTGTACTGGAGTTCATGGAACATAATTGCAATGGAGTTGGCCAATGTTAGTCCTTCTTCTCTGAGCAGAAGAGATTTTGTTGAGCAGCTAGCTTGGGAGGCACCTCCTTTGCCTTTCTGCCATGCAGCAGGTTCACAGCACCTCACCGTGGTTATATGGTCAATGTTACAGTGATCCCTGGAGCTTGGACCCTGTGGGATTGGCTTAATTTCTTCTTTCTCTCTTTTTTGAAATTTTATGATTATCTTATTTTTTAAAAAACTTTATTGAGGAATAATTGGGAATGATTGCCAACTATTACTGTATATTTTAAAATGTACAACTTGATGATTTGATACACATATACATATAGAATGATCAAAATAACACATCCATCACTTTACATAGTTAATTTTTTTTCTTTTTTTTTAATTAAAGTATAGTGGAAGTATAGTTGATTTACAATGCTGTGTTAGTTTCTGGTATACAGCAAAGTGATTCCGTTTTTTATATAAATAAATAAATAAATAAATAAACACTTTTTCACATGCTTTTCGATTACAGGTTATTACAAGATATTGAGCATAGTTCCCTGTGCTATACAGTAGGTCCTTGCTGGTTACCTTTTTTTTTTTTGGCTGCATTGCGTCTTTGTTGCTGCATGTGGGCTTCCTCTAGTTGTGGAGAGCAGGGGCTATTCTTCGTTGCGGTGCATGGGCTTCTCATTGTGGTGGCTTCTCTTGTTGCAGAGCATGGGCTCTAGGCACACGGGCTTCAGTAGTTGTGGCTCCTGGGCTTAGTTGCTCCATGGCATGTGTGGTCTTCCTGGACCAGGGATTGAACCCGTGTCCCCTGCATTGGCAGGAGGATTCTTAACCACTGCACCACCAGGGAAGTCCCTGGTTACCTATTTTTTATATGGTAGTGTGTACATGTTAATCCCAAACAATTAATTTATCTCCCCCCATCCTGTTATCCCCTTTGGTAACTATAGGTTTGTTTTCTATGTCTGTGGGTCTATTTATGTGTTGTTAATAAGTTCATTTGTATTATTTTTAAAGACATCGTTAAATATTTTGTGTGTGTATGGTGAAAATGCTTAACTACTCAGCAACTTTTAAGTACATGATACCATATTATCAACTATAGTCACCATGTTGTACATTGGGTTCTTATTCTTCTTATAGTTTAAAACTTTGTACTCTTTGACCTATACTACCCCATTTACCTCTCCCCCCAGCCCCTGGCAACCACCATTCTATTTTCTGTTTCTATGAAATTGGCTTTAAAAAAATTCCACATGTAACTGATACCACATGTGTTTGTCATTCTTGTCTGGCTTATAGCAATTAGCATAATGCCCTCCAGGCTCATCTATGTTGTCACAAATGGCAGGATTTCCTTCTTTCTTATGGCTGAATAATATTCCATTGCATGTATCTACCATGAATTTTCTTTACACATTCATTCATCAAAGGACATTTAGGTTATTTCCATATCTTAGCTATTGTGAATAATGCTGCAGTGAACATGGGTGTGCAGTTTTCCCTTCAAGATAATGATTTCAATATTTAGGATAGTTTTTTCAAATTTTAGGATAGATGTTTCTGTGAAAAATACCATTGGAATTTTGGTAGGATTGCATTGACTCTTTAGATTACTTTGGGTAGTATGGAAATTTTCACAGTATTAATTTTTCCAGTCCAAGAACACAGATACCTTTCCATTGATTTATGTCTTCTTCAGGCTTTTTCATCAGTGTCATAGCTTACAGTGTATAGATTTTTCCTTGGTTAAACTTATTTCTAAGTATTACATTGTTTTTTATACTATTGTAAGTGGGATTGATTTATTAATTTCTTTTTCAGGTAGTTTGTTGTTAGTGTATAGAAATGCAAATGATTTCTTTTTCTTTTTTTTTAAATCTTGGTTGGAGTATAATTGCTCTACAATGGTGTGTTAGTTTCTGCTTTAAAACAAAGTGCATCAGCCATACATATATATTCATATATTCCCATATCTCCTCCCTCTCACGGCTCCCTCCCACCCTCCCTATCCCACCCCTCTAGGTGGTCACAAAGTACCGAGCTGATCTCCCTGTGCTATGTAAAATGTATCTATTTTAAATTTGGTAGTGTAAATATGTCCATGCCACTCTCTCACTTTGTCCCAGCTTACCCTTCCCCTTCCTCATGTCCTCAAGTCTATTCTCTACATCTGCATCTTTATTCCTGTCCTGCCACTAGATTCTTCAGAAGCTTTTTTTTTTTTTTGAGATTCCATAGATATGTGTTAGCACATGGTATTTGTTTTTCTCTTTCTGACTTAATTCACTCTGTATGACAGACTCTAGGTCCATCCACCTCACTACAAATAATTTGATTTCATTTCTTTTTATGGCTGAGTAATATTCCATTGTATATATATGCCACATCTTCTTTATCCATTCATCTGTCGATGGACACTTAGGTTGCTTCCATGTCCTGGCTATTGTAAATAGAGCTGCAATGAACATTGAGGTAGATGACTCATTTTGAATTATGGTTTTCTCAGGGTATATGCCCAGTAGTGAGATTGCTAGGTCGTATGGTAGTCTATTTTTAGTTTTTTCAGGAACCTCCACACTGTTCTCCATAGTGGCTGTATCAATTTACATCCCCATCAACAGTGCAAGAGGGTTCCCTTTTCTCCACACCCTCTCCAGCATTTATTGTTTGTAGATATTTTTATGATGGCCATTCTGACTGGTGTGAGGTGATACCTCATTGTAGTTTTGATTTGCATTTATCTAATGAGTAGTGATGTTGAGCATCCTTTCATGGTTTGTTGGAAATCTGTATATCTTCTTTGGAGAAATGTCTACTTAGGTCTTCGGCCCATTTGTGGATTGAGTTGTTTGTTTTTTTGATATTAAGCTACATGAACTGCTTGTAAATTTTGGAGATTAATCCTTTGTCAGTTGCTTCATTTGCAAATATTTTCTCCCATTCTGAGGGTTGTCTTTTGGTCTTGTTTATGGTTTCCTTTGCTGTGCAGAAGCTTTTAAGTTTCATTAGGTACCATTTGTTTATTTTTGTTATTATTTCAAACTCTCTAGGAGGTGGGTCAAAAAGAATCTTGCTGTGATTTATGTCATAGAGTGTTCTGCCTATGTTTTCCTCTAGAGTTTGATAGTGTCTGGCCTTACATTTAGGTCTTTAATCCATTTTGAATTTATTTTTCTGTATGGTGTTAGGGAGTGTTCTAATTTCATTTCATTCTTTTGCATGTAGCTGTCCAGTTTTCCCTGCACCATTTATTGAAGAGTCTGTCTTTTCTCCACTGTATATTCTTGCCTCCTTATTCTAAAATAAGGTGACCATATGTGCATGGGTTTATCTCTGGGCTTTCTATCCTGTTCCATTGATCTATATTTCTGTTTTTCTGCCAGTACCATACTGTCTTCATTACTGTAGCTTAGTCTGAAGTCTGGGAGCTGGATTCCTCCAGCTCCATTTTTCTTTCTCATGATTGCTTTGGCTATTCGGGGTCTCTTTTGTTTCCATACAAATTGTGAAATTTTTTGTTCTAATTCTGTGAAAAATGCCACTGGTCATTTGATAGGAATTGCATTGAATCTGTAGATTGCTTTGGGTAGTATAGTCATTTTCACAGTGTTGATTCTTTCAATGCAAGAATCTGGTATGTCTCTCCAAACGTTCATAGCATCTTTAATTTCTTTCATCAGTGTCTTACAGTTTTCTGCATTCGGGTCTTTTGTCTCTTTAGGTAGGTTTATTCCTATGTATTCTATTCTTTTTTTCCAATGGTAAATGAGAGTGGTTCCTTAATTTCTCTTTCAGATTTTTCATCATTAGTGTATAGGGATGCAAGAGATTTCTGTGCATTAATTTTGTATCCTGCTACTTTACCAAATTCATTGATCAGCTCTAGTAGTTTTCTGGTAGCATCCTTAGGATTCTCTATGTATAGTATCATGTCATCTGCAAACAGCGACAGCTTTACTTCTTCTTTTCCAATTTGGATTCCTTTTTTTTTTGTGATACACGGGCCTCTCACTGTTGTGGTCTCTCCCGTTGCGGAGCACAGGCTCCAGATGCGCAGACTCAGCGGCCATGGCTCACGGGCCCAGCCGCTCCACGGCATGTGGGATCTTCCCGGACCGGGGCACGAACCCGTGTCCTCTGCATCGGCAGGCGGACTCCCAACCACTGTGCCAACAGGGAAGCCTTTGGATTCCTTTTATTTCTTTTTCTTCTCTGATTGCTGTGGCTAAAACTTCCAAAATTATGTTGAATTATAGTGGTGAGAGTGGACAACCTTGTGTTGTTCCTGATCTTAGATGAAATGGTTTCAGTTTTTCACCATTGAGAACGGTGTTGGCTGTGGGTTTGTCATATATGGCCTTTATTATGTGGAGGTAAGTTCCCTCTATGCCTACTGTCTGGAGGGTTTTTATCATAAATGGGTGTTGAATTTTGCTGAAAGATATTTCTGCATGTATTGAGATGATCATATGGTTTTTCTCCTTCAATTTGTTGTTATGATGTATCACATTGATTGATTTGCATATATTGAAGAATCCTTGCATTCCTGGGATAAACCCCACTTGATCATGGTGTATGATCCTTTTAGTGTGCTGTTGGATTCTGTTTGCTAGTATTTTGTTGTGGATTTTTGCACCCATGTTCATCAGTGATAAGGGCTGGTAGTTTTCTACTTTTGTGGTATCTCTGTCTAGTTTTGGTATCAGGGTGATGGAGGCCTCATGGAAAGAGTTTGGGGGTGTTCCTACCTCTGCTATATTTTGATATTGTTTGAGAAGTATAGG